ACAATGGAAAAATCAAATCGAAATCGAATGGGAAAATAAGCGAAACCATGATATGAGTAATAAACAAATCGGACGCCCAACGGAGCCGGGAGATTTAAAAGTATACGTATCGCAGAAAATGTGCAGAGAAATTGCTGATTGTGAAAAACTTCATAAATTCTCTCGATCGTCGATTTCTACGGTCTGTTCAAAATCACTTGGAACCAAATAAATATCGGGCAAACGGTACGATTATTCATACTAAATAATTGGCCCAGGCAAAAAGTTCACTCGAAGTGAATAAAATCGCGAAAGGTAGTTTATATGTTTTAGGGGAAAAGTGCAAACATTGTTGCCGATGAAAGTACTACAGTTTGCGGGATCGTTCGAGCGAGAAAAAGGTGAAAGGAAATTTTAGATCCAAAAAAGTCTTTAGCCTTTGATGTCTAAAAGATTAATGACGACTTAAGTAAATATTTTAAGCTTTCTTTGAAAATATAGATGATAAAGTAGCTCAATAAATGCTTCAATAGATAGGATTTCAAATATTCCTAAAAAAAAGTTCAACAAAATGTTAATAAAATTAAAAGTTTTTTAGGTACCAATAATGAGAACATTTAGAAAAAATAAACACAAACCAATTAGTAATTTAAAAATCATACATTCATAATTATGTAAATGCTTTAAACTTATATTTTCAAACAAAATCTACAAAGCATTTAAATTTCACAAACATAAAGCTAAAGCTCAATTAACATATGTACAAACGTTTGAAAAAAGTGTGTTTAAAATTCAAATATGTGACAATGATAAATGAGCTTATAGGAAACGTAAAAAGCGTTTAAGAATTTTTAAGAAAATCTTTGAAGGTCCATATTTATTCAGTATATTTATTAATAATATATAACGTTTGATGTTTAATATTTACTGAGTCTTTATGAAATCTATGAAATCAATTTAACTTTATTTAAACCAAAGACTTTTGCCAATGTTCATTAGATACAAACCCCATAGTTTATTGAAGAATCAGTCAATAATCAGAATGCAGGAGTCTAATAATTAATATTTGATCAACATGAAAGAGCAATTAATGTTGACACACACCAAATAGAGGAAACGAAATTCCGTTTTTGTTTAAAATACTAACAAGAACTTTGGCTAATTTATGCACAAAGCTGGGTGGAATTTTGGGGGGTGGGTTGGGTTGGTACTAGGGTAAACAATTACGGAATGACGTCATGACAGGTGAAACGAAATTTTGGCTGTATTATTTTCACCAATAGGTAACAAATGAAATTTCCGCAAATCGCAGGAACCAAACACAAAATGTTTGGATTTTTCGTTTTCAATATTTACGTATATCTGTGTACTTTTATTTACCAAACCGTTCTATTTTTTGCCCGCCTTTTAATTAGAGGGAATTCTTTTTTAATGCCGACCATTAAAAACTAAAAATTCATTGCTGCTTTGTTTGCCTTTTTTATTATAACAATTAAATTGGTTTTTACGAGTTTTGGTTAACGAAAAATATATATTTCCACCAGCTGAATTCCCAATCGGCAAATAATCTAATCAGCAGAATCACCAAAGATTTTTTCTTGTTGTTTCCCCTAGAAAGCCAAAAAATTCATTTCTTAATTTCAAATGCACGAAGTCGAAATTGTAGGACAACAAATATGTAACTAAATTCGATCACGTTAGGGGAAATTATTAAGAAATGATTGGATGTTGCCGTAAGCTTTTAGCGGTTCCAATTCATGTGATAACTTCGGGTTCTTCAAGTGCTGTTCATAACCGGTAACCATTAGCCATGGGAGCCATATCTTGTCTAACTCGATGGTTAACTTCCAAGTCAACGTTTTTTCATCGCGAAAAAAATTAAGCTTAAATCGAACGGCAATATTTCAATTGGAAATGGCAAATTCCTAGTTGTATTCGTCCAACTTTACTATTTTTTGCTTTCGCATGACTATAAATTAATTTGGAATGCACATTCCGCTTTTGGGACCATATAATCTTGGCCATAATGTTAATTTTAGAAAAAGTGCAGATGCGGAAAAGTGTGGTCTTCAAGATCGTAAAACGATTTTTTTTTTTGGAAATATTATTATGATCGTTTTATGAGCTCCATAAATAATTTCATGCATTTTTAAAGTTTGCTGTTAGAGTTGAGGAATTTTGGTCCCGTTGAAAATGTTGCAAAAGACATTACAAAATAAATTGTTGCCAAATGAATTTGTGAGAAGAGAAGTTTGAAAGTAAAATGTTCTTGTCTAAAATTGTTAAAAAATAAGAACAATAATTTTTTTTAAAACCTAGTAACATTATTTTCTGTTTAAAATTTTGTTAATTTGATGTGCTCCATAAGTAATTTTAGGCAATTTTAAAGTTTCTTGTTAAAGTTGGATAATTTTGCCGAAAGTATTTCTAAAAATATTTTTTCAACCAATTTACAAATATTTTATAAATGGTTAAAAAGAAAAAAAAGTGAAAGCTTTTATTTATTCGATTTGTAAGCAATCCATATAATAAATAATCCTTCGTAAGAGGTATTCAGGAGTGCGTACACTCCCCGAATTTTTGATTCACCAGGTTTTTCCTGTATTTTTGCGTTGCTAAGCTCGCACAGCGTTGCGTATGAGTAATATGCAATTTAACAAGTTTGCCGCCGCTATTCCCAGGTGTTTCTGTTAGCAATTGGCCAACAATCCTCCTTGACAATTCAATTGACTCAACCTGGGTGTGGGAAGTTTTTTCTTTTATTCTTTTTTTTTTCCTCCATCCATTTTTTAGCCTTTTATTTGCGCGCTCTCTCGAATAAAAATTGATTGACGTGCAGCTCTAACGCTGATTACTCATACGCAGTGGTGGCCCAACTGGTTGACTGACTGACAATTGCTCGCCGTTGTTTCATTTGGCTGACTGACTGACTTGTTGCCTCCGGATTCATTCGACACCACCAGCTGCCTGCCTGCCTGCCTGCCCGCTTTCCTATTCAATTTTCCACTTTTCCACCGCCGCGTCAAATTGAAAGGCAGCTAGAAAAAAAAAACTAACAAAAAAAAACAAACATGGAAAAGACGGAAGAAATCGAGATAAAGGGAATTGGCTTATTTTTGGAATACCCTTTTGTTACTTGGGAAGTTTATTTGGATCTCTTTTCACAACGATTGTGGGGCAACTATGTGTAGCTTGTTTCAAATGTCTGTCTAAGGTCTAGACATTGTTTGATATATTTAAGAAATAGTTTAGAGTTCTGTCCAAACAAAAGTGTATTTTTTAGTAAAACATTCTTTACTCCTGCCCTTCTTCAAAATAGGATTTCTTGTAGTAATTAGCCTTGCATTTTTCTGTACATTTTTGAGCTTATTACTTTAATCGTATATTATTTAAAAATAAAATTTTAATAAAAATAAATAATTGCTAACACCTCAATTGAAATCCCTCTTTCAAAGTTAAGTTAGCAATGGTTATTTTCCCATATATAATTAAGTGTGATATATGTATCATAGGCAAATTACTTATTCGTGCACCTATTTTTCCTTAGCCTTTTAAAACCAGTTAACTTATCTCAAGTAATAACCATGAATAATTATTTTAATGCTTTTGCATTTCAATGATTTCAATGCGGTTAACATTTTTGTGCCGTATAAATGTATCCAATTTTGTGGTTATTTTGGTAACTTAAATACCTAAGTAACCCTGAGCCAGATGGGAACTCAAAAAATCGAGTTAAGCTGGAAAAAAATGCTGGCTATATGCTGGGAAATCAGCTTGAATGTTTGAACTCTTGAATGGAAATTGGCCAACTGCCAAATGGCCACGTGCGTCTCGATTTCTCTTTGGCTCATTTATAGGGAATATGTATTCCCATTCCCTCAATGCGTACATTTCAATGCCCAATTTATTGCAATCGATGACGCAGTGAGCGAATGCAAAGGGGTTTCGGGAACACAGGGGAATAAATGGTCACAAAAGGCTAATTGCAAACGGCAGCAACTAAAAAAAAAAACAAAAAAAAACCCCAGAGTCATTTTGGCCCGGTCTGCATTATGCTGCTATATGTTGGCCTTTATATGCTGCTGTTGTTGTCCCGCTTCGCCATGTGTAAATAGTTCAATGAACTTTTCATTTTATGCTTCATTTGCGACTCGAACAAAGCGAAAGAAACAAGCCAGAAAATGCGAGAATCGGCTAGGCGAAGATAGAGATACTCTAGATGTAGATAGTAAAAGATATATTATAGAAATATATACAAATTAAAGTATTTGTAGTAAAAAAGATAGGCTATTCACAGACAAATTTAATTGATTCATTATACGATATAATAATTTTTAATAATCATGTTCATCAATATAGCAGTATTGTAAAAATAAATAGGACTTAACCACTAAGAGGATTTTAAATTTTAGATAGTTGATAGGGAAAAAAATCCAATTTATAAAATGTGTGTATTTTATATTTCTTTTTTGTTCATAAGAAAATAATAAATGAGGAAAGTTGTAATATATTGATTAAAAGATTTTTATAAGCTATATATATGATAAAAAATCGATTAAAAATTAAAAATAAAAAATATTTTTATTGTACAAAATAAAAATACCCTTTTCTAGAGCATTGGAAGTGTAAAAAGTACAATGGCGAATCATTGACGGCTTTTCTTCTTGCCATCGTTTGTTACGTAACCCCGAGAAAAGCTGAAAAGCCGAGACAAAAACAATCAGTAAACCTGTGAGCCGACTGTTAAGTTGACAGCTGCAATCTTTTTTGGGGTAACACAAATACGATCGTGGTTTCTTTTACAGTTCCACCCATTCATAACTTGCCATTTAAATAAACCCATTCGCACCTTATGTATTTGTACAAACTGCACACCAAAAACAGAAAAAATGGCAAAACAACGACAAGAAATATGCGTGTATTATACTATACCTTTTTGGATTTGCTGACGACTGTCCAAACAGGAAGCACCTATTTATTTGCTTAATTATTTATTTATTTTTGTTATTTCACATTTCCAGCCAGAGAGTGTGCGAGCAAGTGAGAGATCAGATCCCGCCATCATGAGCAAGAAGCCGACAGCCGGACCGGCGCTCCACAAGGTCATCATGGTGGGCAGTGGCGGCGTGGGAAAGTCCGCCCTCACACTGCAGTTCATGTACGACGAGTTCGTCGAGGACTACGAGCCCACCAAGGCCGATAGCTATAGGAAAAAGGTGAGTGTTCCTGTGATGCCAAGTACAAGGTCCTCAGATCCGAAAAGTTTTTTCGGTAATTCTGATGAAGATACCTAATAGATCAAAACGATATGGAGTTCCCAGAATACTTGTATAGAAAAAAGTGTACATATGAGCCCACCAAAGACTTTAGCTATAAGTTTTTCAGATCCGAAAGATGGCTTTCCTGATATAGAAACCTAACAAGACCAAAATAATATATAATTCTCGGAATCCTAGACTAGATAAACGTTTAAATACGAGCCTATAATATGAAGTACTAGGTTTTCAGATTCAAAAAAGAATTTTTCGGAATTCCGATATTATGCTTCCAATAAAATCAAAATAAAAGATCATTTTCGGGCTTCTAGTATAGGAAAGGGTTATGATATGAGGAACAAGTTTATTTTTATAAAATAGAATTCCCTGATTTCTGGTATAGAAAAAGGTTTACAACATCAAAGAATTTCTTAAATTTGTTCCTGGAAATTTGACATACCATACCATCACATTTAGAGAAGTGGTATTAGAAATCTTGTTAAATCAAAATTATATATTTATAAGTTTTGTATTCCTGCTATAGAAATAGAATGTTTTCCTCAAGTTTCTTTAAGTATAAATTACTCCCATGTTTATTTAAATTAGATTTTTTCGTAAATGGTTGTTTTTACTCCAATGGGCGTTACTTCACTTAGCTTTATTGCATGCACTCGTACCTAGCAATTTTATTTCCCATCTGATCTTTTCAGAAAAAAGGGCCTTAAATTATTTAATACTGCTTTAAAATGTGGATAAATAATAAGATTTGTATTAATTACCCAATCAGGTTGTGCTGGACGGCGAGGAAGTACAAATAGATATATTGGACACGGCTGGCCAGGAGGATTATGCCGCCATCAGAGACAATTACTTTCGCAGCGGCGAGGGTTTCCTCTGTGTCTTCTCCATCACAGACGACGAAAGCTTCCAGGCCACCCAGGAATTCAGGTGAGTGTGTCAAGCGGTTCTCTGGGTTTTCCCCTCTGCAATTTCTCCTTGGTTTTCCCTGAGGTCTCTCGAGAGTCTCGCGTTTTGCGTTCGTCTTGGGCTGACAAGTGTCGCGGTTTCATTTCTCACACGAGCCTTAGTTTTTTGTGCCCCTTATATTTTGGTTTTATTATTATTTTGCACTGCTAATTAGTCATACAAGTGGTTCAGTTGTTTCCCCATTTATTAGGATGTGTAATTATACTCTATTCATTTCTTTGCTTTAAAGTTTGAATGGGTTGGTAAATAAATTACGAAATAGCTTTGTTTGATTTGATGAGTAATATTTTAATGACTTTCCGACTTCCTGTTTAGTTGTATCTATTGAGCATAATATTCAGTTGACTCATTCGGAAATAAGTCATTGTTTTTGGGAATACAAACAAATGCGAGTTCCGAAAATTTTAGTTGATTATCTGCAACTCTTTTAATAATTCAACTCATAAGTATGCTCTATTCCAGTTATTAAACCAATCTCTAAGTAAGCCATAGCTCTTTATTTTTAATAATACCTTAAGTATGCCCTATCATGCCTTTGCTCCTGGTAATTGCACCTATGCATATGCCATATCGCTGTTTGCCATAACTCCCACTTGAACCCCCCATTCTCCATCGACCCAATTGAGTTATTCAAACTTGGCAACTTAATATAGCTGCAGGCAGATAAATATGACTGGAAAATTGTTATTAGACGTCGACCAGTGACAAGGGGTGTGTGGACTGTCTTGGGATATATGATGTACTTATACCACCTATATCTATTTATTTTCCAATATTTATGCCTTCCCCTGTCCATTGCAGTGTATGTTTACATACGTTTCACTGTTTGCCTGCCGGCTTTCGAGTGTAGTGACAAACGCACTGAGTCATTTCTTCTGATAAGAGCTTATCTATCAGTTTTGATGAGGTTTTCATTTTCACATTGGCAAATCCAAGGGGTTTTTCACAAATTGGAGTTACACGTGTTACGCTTTTTTCAATTCATGGTTTTTTATGTTCATTATGAGGAACTATAAATACAAGTTATGAGTTCAAATGAGTTTTTTTTTGCAGGAAATTTAGAAAAACATGAAACAAATATATTTCTTTGAATTTTAAAATTTAAATGGTGTATACCATAAAAATATATAATATTTACATTCTTGTATAGTCATATAAAAATTATTTTATCAATTACAAATTATTAATTTAACAAAATACAAGTAGAAATTTTTAGTTCTAATTTGCTTTTGATAAAACTATAATCATTACGATCCCTGATTATTTTACAACTTTTCGTTTTACATTCACTAAACAATCCCTAGCTTCTGTTTCATGTACTTAAATGCTGTATTTCGACTTCTGTAAATAATATATTAACGTAAATATTTTTTTAAATTTCCAGAGAGCAGATATTGCGGGTCAAGAATGACGAGAGCATACCGTTCCTGCTGGTGGGCAACAAGTGCGATCTGAATGACAAGCGCAAGGTGCCCCTGAGCGAGTGCCAATTGAGGGCGCAGCAGTGGGCGGTGCCCTATGTGGAGACCTCGGCTAAAACCCGCGAAAATGTGGACAAGGTGAGTGGTAGTGTGCATCGTGCCGAAAGGAAGTTGATATTTTTACCACCCCAGAGGAGGAAGAATGTCCAACCCAACTATAATAATAAATGATAAGGTTTGCGAAGCAAATCAAAACTCTTTAGAAATTGGCAAGCTAAAAGGTTTCTCTCGAACAAACCAAAACTGCACCCGGTTTTTGTTCGTTCAACTAGTTTTCTTACAGAGGCTATTTACTGTGATTTGTTATTTCTTTGTTTCACATACAAACGAAAACATCACTGAGTACCACCTATATTAAACATTCCCTCAAGCAAAACACTCATTTTATAGTGTATTCTTATCAAGTTGTTTGAGTTTCAAATGGTAGAGCTAATCAACACTCATCCACTGAATTTATTCTGATTATAAAGGGCGAAAATGAGCAAGAAAACTGAAATTTAAGTCTAATATGTGATGGTTTTAGAGAACTAATAATAAATAAAACAAATTTAGGCATATAACTATTACCAGATAAATTATTTTCTTTCCTGTAAAATGTGATTTTGTAAGGAGGTTTAAAACAGAATTTTAGACTCTGGTAGAGCTAATCCAAGTTCAAAGATCTTCTCTCTATCTTTACAGTTATAAACTCAATTCAAGGTTAAAACATAGAGCTTTTTAAATGAGAATGATAAGTGGGGGGCGTTCAGATAACAAAGACATTGAAAATAAGTCAGCAGTTTTGGCATGCTTTTTAAAAATATACAAATCTAATCAGGAAGCAAACAATCAAGGGAAAGCTCTAATGAGAAATTATATTGTAATGGGGAGTAAATAAACTAGAAAAATCTTTAGACCTTTTAAATATTAGAGAATGTCTGCAAAGTAATAGGATTTAAATATTGCTTCTAAAAATGATTATAAAGGATTGCACCTTTTATGAGCAGTAAAAATAGAAAATTAGTAAAAAATGTAGTTTTGCTTGTGTATTCAATAAGTATTTAGTTTAAAATCTTTATTTAATTTTAAGCAAATAGACAAAGAACCAATAGAGAAGCTAAGAAAACTTCCGAATTAATGTTTTCTTGGTACATCAAACGAATTTATTTCCACAGCCACACATACACAGCGAACCACACACAGATACACACACACGCACACAGCTAAACACACAATTAATGCACTGCAAAAAAAAGTCGTAGGCTAATTTTCCATGCTTTCAACGTTGTTGCCTTTAACAAATAAATTTTATTTACATTTTATTTTGTACTTGTATTGATAAATACCAAAAGATAATAGACCTTCATCTTAACGAAATTAAAATGTGTGTGTGTAATTATGTTGGTTCGATCTCTGATCATTATTTATATATTGAATTTGCGTTTACTAATTGACTCTGATGCTGATGACTTTGTATATGACTTTATTCCCAATCCACAATTACAGGTATTTTTTGATTTGATGCGCGAAATAAGATCACGAAAAACCGAAGATTCGAAAGCCACGAGCGGGCGTGCTAAAGATAGATGCAAGAAGCGGAGACTTAAGTGTACCCTACTTTAGGCATTAGGTGCATACAACTCTTCCACTATCAAATACGATCTATAATATGTATCCTATATGAATATATGACCACACCTACTTAACCCGTAGACACTCTAATTTGTTGCTTTTAACCCCCAGCTTGATTGCTTTCGGCACTTTCTCTATCTATTTTACTAATAACTGGACCTTGGTTGATTTTCTATAAATATATTTTATTATATTTTTTTACATTTCCGCTTGTTGGATTTAGTTATATGATTTTGTATCATATTTCGTTTATCAAGACTAAACATACACTAACTCTCTAAAAACTCAAGAAAGCTTTAATCTTTTAGATAGACTAGGCACTGGAATTCGGGATAGAAGCTGGAAAAACTTTGATAGTAATAATCATAGTATCGATTAGGATTTGGTGTTTGTATTTTGGTTCAACAACGATTTATAGGCTTAAAGTTTCGAGGTTATATTTTTAGAAATCGATAACTTTCCTGCGGGTTTTATGCTTTTTATACATTTAAATTGTAAAATTATAGTATCCAAATTAGTTTCGTGACTTTGCTCAAAACAATATTATTACTTAAAAGTTTTAAAAGCATTGGTTATCGATTTTGAGATATATTACATTCTGTAAATGGATTCCAAGCTCTTATGTTGGGTTTGATATACTTAAATGTATGAACAGTTTTTCAATGGTGAAAACAAATGAAAGACAGCTAAGGTTTTACTAAGATTTAAGAGCTTTAAATATTTGGTCTTGGGGCTTGTTATTTTATTAAATACAAGTTGCATTTACCAACGAACTTTCTAAAACAAAACTTTCTAGATTATATTTACTTAACACTAACACACAAACACACACATTTGTACATACACAAACACGCTTATACGAACACTTTTATAAAACAAGATTGTTTGAAATTTTTTTTAAGCATTTCAATACATTTGAATTTGCTTTTGAAATATGCTTGAAATTTTCACATAATTTAATTTGGTTTGGTTGTATTTCTTAAAGACTTTCTTTTGGTGTATGAAAACCATAAGCAAAATACAAAGAACGGGTAGTTTCTCAGCTATTACAAAATAAATAAAAGTATATATTCCAAGGAGACAATACTGAATATTAAAATATATACCGTTTTACTCTTGTTAGTTTTGAAATTTCCTGTTCTGTGGTGAAAGAAGAAAGTTTAAGACACTGTTTAAACTTTTCTTTTGTTTGTCTTTTCTTCTTTGGTTTTAGAAACTTTTCAAAATTACTGTAATTATAGAAAAACAATTTAACCCCACCACCTGAAAAATTAATAATGAAAAAATGTATCAAATTGAGTATGTACTAATAAATCCCATTTACATGTCTAGGTATTTTATGATCTAATCAGGGATATTTCATCGCGTAAAAAACAACGTCAGACGGACGTGAAACAGCCGCCGAAGCCCAATTCTCATTGCTGCCAACTGCTGTAGGATGAACAACAACAACAACAACAAGAACCGACAACCATACGATGAACAACAAACAACTACAGCAGCAACAACTTGGAAAACAACAACGGCCACACGGATAACACCAACCACAGAATAAAAGATGAAGAGCAGACCGATATGTTAATAAATAATTAACTTAGTGAACATCAGAACACACGCGAACAGCAGAAAATATCAAAATTATTTGCCACACTCAAAACTCAAACACGTAATCCAAGTTAACTTGCATTGTAATATACATAAATATATTATTTAGGCAATCGATTTCCCCGAAAAAATGAAAAGCAGCACAGCAGCTTACAAATTCTGTCGTTTAGTTTTCGTTCTTTCTTTAAACTTATCGATTTTTGTGTTGCCCCGTACAATAAAATGTTAAAACTAAAACAAACACTAAAGCTTAAACGTATTAAATATAATCAATCTTAGACACCTAAAGAAAAACCCGTAATAATTATGCAATTTAATAAATGATATAGATATTTCTCTTGTTTAATTATACATATGCATACATTTTTTGTAATATTTTAAAGTTTAATAGCGAAATGCAAACAACACAAACCAACAAGAAACCACACAGAAAAGCTTTTTATAAATACATCTAAATATATATTTAAATATATACGAAATAGTTTAAAGTATGAAACACTTCAAATGCTAGAGACAAGAAGTAAAAAGAAAGGAAAACGAAAACAAAAGATATCTCCAATTATTAATTGTAAACGAAGTGAATCGAAACAAATTTTTAATGCAATTTTTGTAATTTTCTAAACCGAAAGCAAATGAGTAGGGATAAATAAACAAAAATACAACAGAACAATGATGAACTAATGTTTGTAGCAAGCATTGGAGATTTTCCTTTACCTGCAGTTACTTTTTTCCACGCTAAAACACATCCAATATATATTTAGCAATAACTCCCGATTGATTTGCTTCTTTGTTTACTTTTGTAAAACTGCATTCTGTATTGTAATATTTAAGCTATTATTATTATGATAATTATTATTATTAAATATATAAGTTATATATGCAATCGATTGATGGTTGGTTCAACTTTTGTATTAAGCATTTCCCTCGTTTTCCTGTGAAAATTGTTGCGAAAAACGCGAAAACACAGCTAGAACACTCAACCATTTTTTTTTTTTCTTTCCTCCTCACAGACACTCACGCATATATCCAAAACAAAATCAAGCAACAACCCGCATTTTTTTTATATAAATATATATACATATACAAATTATAATTACGAGAGTTAAAAAATGGCGATTGATGGAGTGTAATGTTTAGCTTGACTCAGAAATAAACCGAAAAATATGAGAAATACAGAATAAACCGATTTTTACTTGCTGGGCCTGAAAGTATGCAATATAAAATATTTTGGGAGCAATTAAGTTTCTCAATTTTCTAGCTTTCTTTTGGATATGGAACCCTCCACGATCAATATAATTGTTTGGCTGATTTTAAAATATAGAAGTTTTATATCAAACGTTGTTGCACCACATATTCTCTTCTCAAAACTTTGCAAATAATCCAAGCAATTTTCGAATTTGTAATAAGGATCACCACATTTTCTAAGGAGAAAAAAAAATGTTCCAATTCTGTTTGCAGTCTATAAGAAATTATTTAGCAGCTTAAAACCCTCCTTTCCGAAAAACAAAAACGATTTTAAAATATTTTTGCTTTGAAATCTCTGTTTTTATTTTTTTTTTACGCATTTTCTGTTTTCTTTACACATTTACATTTATATAATATATATATATATCGTTCTTCATATATATTCTTTTTTTATGCTTTTTTACTTCTTGACATACTCTTACGATTTTGTTGGTTTTTTGTTTGTTTATTTTTGTATGCATTTCGTTTAAAATTAATTTTACAAGTTACATTTACAGCTAAAAAGGTTTTCTCTCGTTTTCTTTTTTGTTTGAAATTGTTTTTTGTTTTAATCTTTTCTTGGTTTTGTTGTTGTCTGCTTTCTCTATAAATATAATTTTTTTGTTGAGTTTTCTCCTTTGTTTTGTTGTTTTTTTGTTGTGTATATTTAATGATAATTATAATTTGCAATACTCCCGATTTGTTTTCAACTTAAAGAACAAATTTGTTTAAACATTAATAATTAGTTAAGTTAAGCTTAAATTTCTAAAATGAAATCGTTTTGTTGTTTGCTGTTTTCCTTGTTTGTTTTTTTTTTAAATAAAAATGACGCCAAAAAGTATTATGTTCAATCATTTGTTAACTGCCTACTTACAAAGGATGTTAAAAAAAATTCAAGAAAAAACATTTTCAAAATGTGTTTTAGTTAATACAACGAAAAAAAACATAAATTAAAGAACATAAAATCTAATTTAAGAGTTAAGGTTAATTCTTCAAATGTGTGTTGGTATTATTAATTTTATACATTTTCTTTTATGATTAGTAACAGAAATCGAGTGACAGACACAGGCATATTTAACTACATACATAGTTAATTCCACTTCTCTTTCAACTTATGTGACTAAAGCATTTTACATTCAAACACATTTACACAGACGTTCCATACACATATATATATATATATTTCTAGTTTATAGATTTCGATTTTAATGGTTACTTGCTCTTTCCTTTCGTGTAAAACTCTCTTGTGTGAAAATAATTTTTGATTATCTGTCCCTTTGGTAAAAAAAAAACTATTAAAAAAAAAAGTAAGTCCCCCTTGATGAAAAAAACTGAAAGTTTGACAGTTTCCCACTTGTGTTTTAAAGTATTTACAAAATATATGGAAAATTTCACGCTATCTGATCGGCTCACTTTTGTTTGTGTATACAAATATATAGATAGATGATATATAGTTTTATATTCATTGCCCCGACGTAAAAAATTTGCAAATATTTAGGGGGAGTAGAAAGAGACGACCTGCTCGCGCCATCTCTGTCTTTCCTTCATTATTGTTCAAGAGATATCTTTTGCTAATACTTGTATCAATCCTCCTTTGCTTCCTTTCTAGACATATGTGTAATATATATGTATATATATGCTAACACATACACATTGAAAAAAATGCTCCAAAATATAACATTCAGTTTTATGTTGCTGCTTTTTGCTAGATTTTTTCCCTTATCGTGATAATTGTTGTGTTGTCTATTTCTAAGCTATTTTCGTTCTTTTCTTGTTTTTTTTTTTACCTTTCCTTGTATATAAATATTTTATAAGCTTTAGTTAGGGGGGTTGTATCAAATTTTCTGTTTTACTTTGATTCTGTTTCAATGGCATAAGGCAGGAATTTAAATTGCAAGAAGGTTTGGTTTATACGCAATCACTACATACATATTATATGATAATGTCTTATATGCGTGTCTTTCCAGAACAAGATCAAAATAAAAATTCTCTAAAAAAAAATTGTGTTAAATTGGGGGAGAAGGGGGTGTGGGGGGGATGGGTGTGGCTTTTGTTAGCTTATTGCACTATTACACATTTTTTCTACGATGTTTTGTTTGCTTGCTACATTAATATCTAATTCAAATATGGGTATTACACAGATACAACACTCTCTGGCCAGCTTTTCTCTTTAGTTTTACATACTATTGGTTAATTTTTTGTTTGCAAACTCACACATACTTGACATACAAGCACTCTAATTTGATATAATTCTATTGATTTGATTTTTGCTTCGTTTCTGTGTTTTTTTTTTGTTTTTTCCTTTTTTAAGTTTTGTGGTTTCGCTTTTGAAAGAAGAAGAAAGTATATCATCCAAAAGAAATTATTTCTGGTTCAGTTTTGGTCAAGAAAAGAGACATCTATCTTTTTTCGTTTTAGCATTTATCTTTTGCCACATGAATTTTGGAAATCCTGCTTTTACATATTTATAATTTATAATCTTCTTCTAAGTTTTAGATACATATACATATACATATATATATATATAGAGATATATATATTTATAAAGCGTTACCCATTGGTGGTTTCTGTTTCAACAGCGCATTTTGGTTTTGTTTTTTTCTTCCTGTTTTACATTTAAGTGTGCTATTCTTCTTGGTGTTTTTTTCTCTTCTTTTCTAGGCTTCACTATAAAGTAGTACAATTAGATATATAATGTATATAGTATATATGCATGTTGATGGGCCTGTGTGTGTTGTGTTGTGTGTTGTAGATTTGTTTGTTGTGGTTTTCAAGCTGTTGTTGTTGTTGTTGAATGCTGGCTGTCGTTGTTGTTTTACATTTATGTAATTGGTCTTCTCTTGTTGCTGTTGTTGCTGGTTTATTGTTGGTGTTGTTGCTGCTAGCTTTTTTCTCCCGCGTTGTTGCTGTTTCTTTAAAATTATTTATTAAAAAATAATTTTCTTCTTCACTTTGTTGATTTTCAAAATCGATGCTAAGTGTTGGGCGGAACTGTTAGATAGCTTTTGTTTTTATTTTTGTTTTACATAAAAAAGTACAGCTTTTAATGTTTTTCTTATGCTGGTTGCTGCTGCTGCTGTTGTTGTTGTTGTTTTCAATGTGTGCGAAAGTGTGAGAAATATGTAATATTTTTTTCTCTTGTATCTTGTTTTAAGAAAAATGAGTTTTTAGAGAACCTTCTTCTAGTTGTTGTTACATTTTTTGTTTAATAAGGTGGGAGCTGTTGCACACAATTCAGTTGTTGTTGTTGTTGTTTTCTTTATTGTTGTAGGTGTTTGTTGGTTGTTGATTTTTTGTTTGTTGGTTTACTGTGCGGTTGTCCCAGCACTGAGCATCAGGAAATTGTAGTTGCGATCCTTGTCCGCCTGATGGAAACCTGTTGAAATATTACAAGACACTATTAGTATTAATTTAATATTTATTAACGTTGAAGAGTTTAATCCACCAACTGGTATTGTGTTTTGGTAAAGTCATTTATAAGAACCCCATTTAGGTTTACAAACAGAATGATTAAATCATTTAAAAAATGGTAATAGACAATTCGGTTTAAGTTAAGGAGTGAAACCCTACCATTACATTACATTTTTTTTGTCAGACTGGCCGCCACGCCCTTTTTCTTTGACAATATTTTTGAATAAACCAATTTTATTCTTACTTTAAATGACAAAATATAAGAGGTATAACAAATAAATAGACCAAAATTAGTTATTTGATCATAAAAAATCCAAGAAACAAGACATATTTTGGCATTTAAGACCCAACCCCTCTTTGGTATACACAAATGTAATTACAAATCCCTGTTGGTGGATTTCTCAATAGCCTAAAAGGACTCCCTCCTCACCGTTTGCTGATCCGCCGCCAGTTGGCACAGCAGCGGCCACGATGGTGGCACCACCATTCAGGGCGTTGACACCACCACCACCCGCACCGCCATGGAATTGGAGGCCAACATTGCGTGCGCCCACTAAATGGGCGGTGGCCGTGGGCGTGGTGATCTGCTGCTGCTTTTGTTGTTGTTGCGTAGGTGACGACGAACTGGACGACGTACTTGATGATGATGATGACGACGATGAGGAGGAGGACGAGGATGATGATGATGATGAGGAGGAAGAGGACGACGATGAGGAGCCGCCGCCCATAAATGAAGCCGACGACGAGACGCCACTGGACGAGGAGCTGGGCGACGGCGATGGAGTCGATGGCGTGGGCGAGCCACGTGTAATGGTGGCCCCATTAGTGGCTCCTATTCCCGATGGACTGCCCGCTGGGCTGCCGTTGTGGTGGTGCTGCAGCTGCTGCTGCTGCTGCTGGATTGCCGCTGGTGAGATTGCCGGTATGTTGTTGCCATTGCCATTCTTAATTGTCATGATACCCATGGCCGGAGTCAGTGTGGTTGTTGTGGCTCCTCCTGTGTGGTTGCCATTGAGTTTGCTGCTGATGCTGCTGATGCTGCCGGCTGCTGCGGTTGCTCCTGCTGCTGATGTTGCTGCTGGTGTGGCATTTGATTTGTTTATCACAGTTGTTAGCTGCTGCTGGGCGAAAATAACATAAATATTAAATTTAGCTTGTGGTTTGCGGTGGTTTTCCCCTGGGGTTTGTAAACTGAATGGTGTGTTGTATATGTCACATTCATTTAAATTGGTTTCCTTTAAGAATGGTATATTGTCACTAATATTTTTAGTTTATAATTGAATCAAGAAAGTCATCCTGCAGATAATTTTATTTTTACTTTAGTTTTTACTTAAAAAAAAGGTTTTATATTTAATGCTTTGTTTGATCTATGTAGTGAATATTTTAAAATTATTAAAACATTGTTTGCCCTGAATAAAAATCTTTTTTATAATCAGAGGGACTAAAGTCCCCCCGAAAATCGATTTATAAATGTCGAAAAATGCAGTTTACATTCCCCATCGGTTGAATATCATGTTTTGACGATATATACTCACCCCAGTGGCACAGGCGTTGCCTGCATCGTATAGAATTCGGGTTCCATTGCGACCACTGGCCGCCGTTGGTGGTGCTGGTGTGGTTGTTGTTGCCAGGCAAACGGCTGGAAAAAGAGGGAGAAAGCGCGAGATTAGCGTTGTCATCGAATATCGAGATATTGGGAATGGAATTGCATAATCCGAAGGTCGTTCGATCCCCAAGCGCATTCAAAACTTGATCCACATTCGTCTTAGCTATCTAGATCTGTGTCCAAGATCCAAGATATATATGTGTATACCTTTGTCGGCCTGTGGAATGCTTTGCTGATCGGTGGGCGGCGTTTCCTTCCTCGAACCCAATCGCTTCAGCCGCTTCTGCAGCTCAATCTTCTGCTTCGCCAGCCTCTCCACCTCCGCCTCCTGCTCGCGATCACGCTGCGTCAATCGCTAAAAAACAGAAAAGGAAGCAATTAATTAATGAATTATACAATTAATCCGTAAATTGAAAGCCCACATATGTATACAACACATTTCCTATCCCATAAATATCAATATATATCTATTAACCATCAATATAATTGTATTTTCTTGAATAAAACATGGCAAAAGTGAACTAAAGCTATGGGTTAAGTGTAAACTCCACCTCCAATACATGAACTCATCTAATGTCAAACCATTTATGATCTTTTGGGAAAGCTTTCCTCATAAATAATTTATACAAATTATACGAAATTTGAAAGCCTACATATTTATAGAACACGTTTTCTATCCTAGATATATCAATATCAAGTTAACCATAAATATAATTGTATTTTTTGCATAAAACCTGCTAAATATGACTGGTTAAAATGTAGATTCCACCTCTGATACATAAACTTTAATAATTCCTAACCAATTATGATGACAATACAATGATTTCCCCATCAAATTTAACTAGTTCGCCATGTGCTAGGTTTCTAACCTGGACATATTCGTGGGCTTTTTCGAGTATTGTCAAGTTGGAGGTCTTCTTTCGGTCCTCGTCCCGCATGGGCAGCTCTTTTTTGAGCTGGTCGTAGCACTCCTTCAGCTGGGCCCGTCGTTCCTTCTCCAGCTTGTTGTGCACTTCCCGAGTGCCCGCTCTGAAAGTAAACATTTGGGGTATTAGTTCGTCTGAATTTTGATTAAGATCTCTATAAAAATAAACAGTTGGTCCTTAAAACGATTTTATGTAACTTCTAACCCATTGATATTTTAGAATTAAAATAACATTTTATATAAAACAGTTTTTTCGGAGGTTGAAATTGATACGAGATTTTAAAATAAGTGGTTTCATTGAGTGAAGTAGGTTTATTTGATCAGCATTGGACTAGTTACTTTATTGCTCTATGAAATGCCTTTTAAAATCAAAACATTTGGTCCTAAACGATGCATCAGCCACCTTGCAGCAAACTTAAATCATTTATAGGAAAGTGGCACAGACATCGCTTAGCGCGGAATTTAGATGGGTTTCTTGAGTGCATCATTATAAATTTTTCAGGAATTCAGCGTTAACAAATTTCTGTGGCAACCCCCTCTAATGCAGCTGATGCATCGATGGAAAATCCAGAAGTGCTCATTCTAAATGGTAAATGTTTCCCTACACACACAACACTCTAACAACCCTAACACTAAAACCCGTCCAGCGTCCTCATTTATTTATATTTTAAAAAAAATTTAAATGAGATTACGTTCTTATATTCAATACCCATCTACATGGCAAAAATTATTGAAATCGGACCATTCATTATAAAGTTAAAACCAAATAAAAATCAATATTTGGCAAATTCAATCGAGATTGCACTCTAATCACTAATACACCACCAAGCCGCTATTGGCGCTAGGTGGCGCTAGCCCCAAGCAAATATATCTCCGTCCCTCTCGCACTATTTTAAGCTCAGTAATGGGTATCTAATAGTCGAGGCCATCGACTATAGCTACTTTTATTGTTTTTGTGTGTATTTTCTGTAGAACTCACCCGTTGCTGTTGGAACTGGTGGTGCGCCTGCGTCCTCCGTGTCCCGTGTGGTGGTGCGCCTTCAGCTGAGATCCTGCCGCTGGCGCCGAGGAGGCAATATTCATGGCCATCGTCGCAGCGCCTCCAACTCCCACTCCTACTCCAACTCCTCCTGCTACTCCCAATCCTACTGCTCCTACTGATGATGATGATAATGCCACTCCAGCAGAGTCGACAGAATCACCGGGTCGTCCGTATACCACCATACCATTGCCGCATCTCCCGAAACTGATTTGCGGCTGGAATTGCGGCAGATGGCTGGATGATGATGCTGGATGCTGATGCTGCTGATCTCTGGGCGCTGAAATGGCATGGGACAGTGAGTAGGAGCGAATCCGCGAATTGCTGGTGTCCACTTTGCGTGTGGACGAGGGCGGTGGTGTCAGGGGAATGTTCGTCGATCCCACCACACTACTCCTATAGAATTGCTTCTCATGATCCTCGATCACCGATCCACTGATCATTTCCACACCGCCCAAGGCGGTGGCCTTAAAGCCCTTGGCATTCCTGGGCGTTGGATAGACCCCCTTGCCATCCGATAAGAATAGAAATTTGGGCGGTATCTCGGCGATGGGACTCAATTTGTGCTTGGCAGGATTAGATGTTGTTGGTTGTGGTGTGGGTGTTGCTGTTGCTGTTGCAGGTGTTGCAGTTGCAGGTGCTGCAGTTGCAAGTGTTGCAGGTGTTGCAGTTGTTGCAGCTGCAGTTACAGTGGTTGCTGCTGCACTTGGAGTGGTTGCTGCTGCCGCTGCCAGCAGCATAAAGGTAGAGGGGTCAATTGAGGCTAGATTTCTCATATATTTTGCTGTTGTTGCCACTGCTGCTGTTGCTGCTGCTGGTGTTGTTGTTGCTGTTGCTGTTGTTGTTCTACCCACTGCATTTTGTTGCTGCTGTTGCGGGGAGTGGGTATGGTTCTTGCTGTTGACTGGGGAATTATCATCCCCTAAGAGTGGCCGAAAAGTAAAGAAGAAATCGTAGAAAAAACCAAAATAAGAAGTTAAATCATAACTAAGGAAAAATAGTTCAGCGGGTATAGAAATATTCAATGGAAATAAAAGGAAAACCAGGTGATAGAACTAATAATGAGATGAATGTGCAACGCCAAATGAAGTACAAGAAATGTTCTGTAATTATAACTTCCAATTCAATTCCCAAACACTAAAAAAATGCCATATCTAATAAAATGTTAGCACTTCACTAACTCATTTTAAAAACCAAATTTAGTTAACAAAAAATAAATAAAACAAAAATAAATTACATTAACACTAAGATTTTTAACTAAGAAATAAACCAGTGTTAAAACTATAACTGTTTTCAAAATAAATACCTCATTGTTTTGTTTAAAAAATTAAAAAAAAAAAACATTAATTAAAATTAAAATATTTAAAACAATATATAAAAAAAATCAAAAAAAATAAAAAAAAATCTTTTGAACAAAATTAACGTGACAATGAATTTCCAGAAATGATTTAAATTACTTCCATATCAAAATAGGTTCTTTAAAAGTTTTTAAAATTATACCATAAATATACAAATTCTTGAAAAAAATTTTAAATCTTTGAAATAAAAATAAACAACTTTATTTCCTTTCAAAAAAGACTTCAAACTTGTTAAACAACAAAAACCAATGTGACACAATGAGTTTCCAGAAATGATTTAATTTATTTCAAACTAGAAAATTACTAGGAAAATAGCTTGTATTAAACTAAATAAAGACTTGGGTGGAAAGTCAGAAAATCAGAAAATCAGAGCACAAAGCGGCGGAAAAAAGACAATGGCAGCGTTTAATGAATGCAAATTAATTCGGGTTAAATACAACAGACAACAGACAACAACACGGAGCCAACAGAGTCAACAATCAGCAATCAGTGGGCGATGAAGGTCCTTTGGTGGGTTAATTATATATGATTAAGTGCGCGTGTGAGTGTGGTGGGTGGTGGGTGGTGTGTGGAGCATGTGTGTGTGTGGGCGATGAATTAGTTACGCATTCGTGGAAAACCCAATGCGAATTTCCATCGAATTGCGTCCAAATAAAAAATAAAACAGCGGACAACCAACAATCGCATTTATTATGCATTATTAACGATCGTTGTGGCGCTGTTTTCTTGGGTAAATGCGGTGGGTGGTTTTCCACCAGGGGAAATTGGGTGGTGGGTGGTTAGTGGGTGGTTGGGCGGTTGGGTGGAGTAAGCCGAGACACGTGTCGCATGTTGACAGACCAAAAAACCACAAAGACAGATCGAATGTGCAGCTCAAATTGAAATAACATCTAGTAACAACCCTTTGAAAGACAATCCCAAACCATATTTTTCTAAATTTCTGTATTGCTAACTATCAAAAACCAACTAAAAAACATTTTATTTGATTTATGATGAAGCCAAAACTAACAACACAATTAAAACTCGTATAAAATCTTTGTTTTCATTATAGGTAAATTAGTATTTTTAGGGGATATAATTTTTTTTTAAATTAAGTTGTTGCATGTATGGTAATTTTTTTATAGAATTTTATTTAAGTGCTGTAATAATCATAAATTAGAGTTGGATTATATCATTTAAAATGGTAAACCTTAAGTCGAAATTAATTTACCCATCTAAGCTTCTTAAAAATGTAATCACAACTTCTTATTCAATTAAAAATATCGTTTGACAAAAGCAACAGTAACAGAATATAATGAAATAGAGCCTCGTAATTCAATATCAGGCATTGAGTTGCACTGGTTTTATCACTTCAAATTGGGTCATAAAATGCACATAGTGAAATCAGTTTTCAAACAGAATATCAAATGACAAACGAAGGCTTATCGAAACAAGAAAAACAATTGCATAAAGAATTTCTTTATGCAAACGAATAGAATAAGTAGGACAACATGGAATTAAGTTTCTCGGAATAACTAGAATAAACTTTTCGACGATTATCTTTTATTTATAATAGTTGAGTATGGAATACAACTTAATAGCTTGTAGTTTAGGAACTACAAATTCATTTCGTGTCCTAATGATTAAGAAAATATTTTTAAATCTTGTGATGATCTGAGGTTTCAAAAATGCTTTGGGTGATAAAAGCTCTTGATTTCTCACACCCATTTCGGCTTAGCATACTTCCCAGACCTTTAAAATTCCTGGGGGATTATCAACGCCCCCATTTTCCCCACTCTTCTCCTCCCTCTCTCTGTGTTTTCCTCCGCACATGTTTTCTCCCTTTTTCCCCTATTTTTCCATATTATTTAACACCCACATCACGATGCCACGTGACGAAAGCGCACGTGGCTGCAACAACAACATCGGTTGCACCCTTATTAACCCACGCTATCGCACATGAACACTTTGCTTTAATACACAGAAAATAAATATGTTGTATTCAATATAACATACATTTTAAAAGAATATATTTATTTCAACTTGATAATACATTTGTTTGGTCCTAAAGGTATTAAAATAAATTATTGTCCATCATACTATACTATAATATTATAACAATAATCCAAAATAATCACCAATTTAAAAAAAGTATTTTAGTTTAATGTAATAATCAATTTATTTGTATTTAAAGGTACCAAAACGAATTATTGGTCATTAGATTATAGTAAATTATATTCAATATTTATATCTAAACTCAACAAAATTAAATTTTGGAAATTTTTTAAGCTACTTTGATGGCACCTGGTATATTTTAACTTTATTTGGTTAACTTTTTAAATTTGATATTTATCCTCGCTATGATTTTGATCTATTTCAATGACTTCTTTTAAAAAATATTTTCTGATTAAAATACAGTTTTAAATAAATTGTTTAAATCACCAATATTCCTTTTCGTGTACCATAACCATAATGCCGATATATCCATTTCTTTTTGGGCGATAAGGGGTGGCTGAACTGGCCGTGTGTTTGATGTTGCTGCCGTGCAGCAATATGTTGCTGTTGGGTTTGAGATTGCTGCTGCTGCTGTTGTTGTAACTGCAGTAAACTTTGAAAAGCACTCAAATGTTCCAGCAAGTTGGCAATAATTTGATTTTGTTGCCGTTCCGGTGCGTTAAAATTAAATTTATCGACTGGTTGCGACGACGACATCGTTTGCCGGTTGAAAAAAAAAATCAAATCTGGGTGGAAAATGCAGTTTTCCCGTTCGCGAATCAACCGCAACTGAGTGGAGAAAAACTGAGGAAGAAGAGGAACAAGTGAGGCCCACGGAAATTAAAGAATCGAAATCAAAGCATCGCCGGAAATTTGCATTTACGAGAGATAATGCAAATCGGATGGAGAACAGACAACATCGTTTTGCATATTACCGTGAATCGTCAAGGAAAATGGGGCTTATCAAAAGGAAACCGTTTTGAATTCAATGTTTTTCTTTGATCAATTTAAAATTCACCTTTTTTTTACTGCGCGCTTTTCGGCGATATCAAAAAGGATTTTACAACACTATTTTTTTTTAATTATTATTCAAGTTTTTCAAATGATAATGGCTATTAATTTTTTAATGACTTTCAAAATTAATATAACTTTTCTTTACAATTTAATCACGTTTAATATTTAGATATTTATTCACAAGGATTGTATTATTATTAGAACATATAATTTATTTGCCAACTTCATAATTACCCGGAAATTCACCCGCTGCACTTTTTCTCCCACATTTGAGCCAATTAATAGGAAAAGTCTCGAGGGCCCTGGATTTTCGGGGAAATTTCTCTGCATATAAATAGAATTCCCCAAAAAAACATACTAAATTTCTGATATTATACAAACACAACAAAACAATTAGGAAACAAAGAAAAATATAATAAAAAAAAAAGACAGGAAGAGAAAAAACAAAAACAGGAACAAAGAAAGGAGAAGAGAGTCAAAAAATGAAGAGACAGCTGTCCAAATATTACACATGCAGCGCCGAAAAAAAAGAAGGCATAAAAAATAACAACAGTGAAATAAAATTTGTAAGTGTGAAGAAAACAAACATAAAACATAAAAGCCCAAAAGAAAGGGCAAATAATAATATGAAATGGGCACGGAAAAAAAGGCAGACTGACAACAAAAACAAAAAATGCGTACAAAGTTCATTGACTTTGTTTTACACCAGCAGCCAAAGAGAGCGTTCACTTTGCGCTCTTTTTTGTGCGTTTAAAGAGCATGCAAAGTAATTTGTAAGAGCTTAAGAGAGCCGCTCACGTGGAAGTCACAATTTTTTTTATTATTGTGCTATGACTAAGCTGTGCGAGAAGAGCACGAGTGAGAGAGAGAGAGAGCGCCAGCACATGACGTGACCCTAAACAACAACAACAGCAACAAGTACAAGCGTACGTGCGAAAAAATACGAATGAAGCGCATGACAAAATCGAAAAAAGACAAAGAAAGAGCAGCGAAAAAAAAACAAAAGCAGCCGAGATGAACAACAACAAAATCCACACATGTTGACAAAAAAGCGAAAAACCAAAAAACCGAATTGAGCACAGCAAAAGCAAACGAAAACAAAATACAAATACAGTAGACTTTCTTTAGCTACCAATTTTGTAAAAAATATTTTATAATAATCTTGAATTATTTTTTATGTTTATTAATTTACCATTTCCTCATTTATTGAAAATAAAGGCAATTTTCCCATTGTAATTGAAAGGTAAAAACTGTGTCCAGTCTATTTGGTATTTAAAAGTCTCATAATAAATAATATAATTGGTTTCAGTATCTAATATTTTTCATAAATACATGTTGCCTTAAATAGAAATTGGTCAGTAGAAAAGTTTAAAAGGGCTTACTTTTAAAGCAATGTTTAAAATTTAAAAACCTTGAAAGCAAATATTTTAAAATATTAAATATTAACTTTTTCAAACAAACTTTTTAGGCAAAACGTAGTTTTTTTACTGTATTTTTGACGTTGCAAATTTTCGTATCCGACATTCAAGGCAATAAAAACAAAGGTAAACGCAGAGAGGCAAAAACAAAAACAAAAACGCAGCATGACAATTTAGCACATGCCAATTGGGCAGCAACGCCAGCAGCGACGCCAGCGTCGCAGTCGCAGCGAGCAGCGCGCTAAAAATATAACAGTACCTGCTGCTTGCCACGCTTGCAACCTGTGCCAAAAAGAGAGCGGAAGAGCGGGGGAGTGGGAGAGCGGAAGAGAGCGATAGCTGTGTTGTTGATTTCTTGTGGGGTTTTATTTTATTTAATTTTTTTTGTATTTTTTTTTTGGTACAGTGCGCGCCCACGCAAAATGCAGTCGACGTCGACGTCGCAAACAAGGTCAAAACAAGTTTAAATGCAGCAAAAGCAAATGGGGAAAAAGAGCAAGCAGCAACAGTTTTTGGAAAGGCGACAAAAGTGTCGAAATATGGTCGATATAGCATCAACATTTATATTTCCATTTTAGTATCTACAAGTATTCATCTCCTAAATTGAACCCTAAACACTGTTAATACATTCCATTTGTTTGTTTTAAGTTTACATACATATATATCTATGTATGCCAATTGTTTGATAGAGGTTATCGCCCACAAACACACATTTGGCAACACCTTCCAATAATAATCAATCAAGTTCAGAACAGTGCGATGCTATCGGTGATACTTTTATCACCATCAGGCGACAAACACTTTCAAGTATGCAACAAATAATAATTTTCCCAGACATTCGACATTCTCAAAATTTAAATAATTTTTCCCTTATTTATTATTTGTTTTTATTTGAAAACTTTTGTCGCCTGACTGAGGAGAGACGACCAACAAACAAAACAGTTAACAGCGAGAGCAGAGCAGCTGATGTTGTTGCACTAGTAAAAAGTGTTAGACGACGTTTCACACACAGCAGCGGTCAGTAAAGTAGCAACGCCTTGCACCTGGCACTCAGAATTCGGTATGAAGTGATGATAAGTGATGATAAATTGGGGTTGTTTCGGGTTGAAAATTCGGGGATTTCCAAAAACTATTGAATACCAGAGTTTTGGCTAAACTATTTTTTTTGTTTATTAAGAAAACATAATAAAAAAAATTTAAAACTGAAAACTGGAAATTAGTTTTGAAATAGAACAAAAAGTCCCTCCGAGACTCCAAAAACTTTTCATTTGTGATGGGAAAGCCAAAGCTAATCTGTCAAATTTTTTCTTCTTTTTTAAACAACATCAGAAGTTTAGTTTAAAAGTTAAACAAAAATATTAAAAACTGAAAACAGGAAATAAGTTTTGAGAAAAACCAAAAAAAAAATGGAATACCAAAATGTTGGTTTCTTTTTTTTTTTTAACAACATATCAGAAGTTAAGTTTAAAAGTTAAACATAAATATGAAAAACTAAAAACGGGAAATCAGTTTTGAGAAATATCAAAAAGCCCCACCGGGGGCGCCAAAAACTTGTTTCAATTGTGATGGGAAAGCCAAAAGCAATTGAATACCAAAGTTTTGGCTTATTTAGTCTTCATTTTTTTCCACAAAGTACCGGTAGTTAAGTTTAAAAATTAAACAAAAATATTAAAAACGGATAAAAGGAAATCAGTTTTGATAAAGAACAAAAAGCCCCACCGGGGGCGCCAAAAACTTGTTTCAATTGTGATGGGAGAGCCACGACTTGTGTTGTGGGGATGTGGGGTTAGAGGGGTCAAGGGGGTAAAGTGGGGCAGAGTGTTAAAACTTACCCGCGATGAGGGGGCGACCTTCGCTGTGTCCGTTGGCGACTGCGCTGCTGCTAACGACGGTGGTGGTATACTCGTAATCGTGGGCAGCGGCGGTGGCGGCGGCGGCGGCGGCTAATTGACTGCGCGGACTGCTGTGACCGTTGCTCAGACCGTTCCCGTTCGCATTGACGTTAACGCTAACGTTTACGTTCACGTTACCGATGCCGGCAATACCGTTGCTATTTCCGTTCGTGAACGGTAGCGTTGCAATAGTCCCGTTACTGCTACTGCTGCTGATGCTGCTGCTGTTGTTTCTATTGTGCTGGCTGCTATTGTTGTTGTTGATAATGGAGATGCTCTTGCATTGCAGCGACTGCTGGTGCTGGGGCAGGGCCACGCCCACTCCAACTGCAAGCACGTCTCCCGCCTGCGGGAGCCTCTCGCGCTGCTCGATGATTTTAGCCGCCTGGAGGAGCGCCATAATGCCCCCGCCCCCCGTCGCTGACATAGCATACACGAACTATGTAACACTCCTTCTTCTCGCCAAACACACACACACGCACACGTGACAAGGACGAACGCGTAACACCACAAATTTCTATAAATATATAGTATTTTTTAGAAAAAAAAAACAAACCACAACTATTGTAAAAACACACGAAATAGTACGAATACACGCGAGAGAGCGGGACAGGGGCAGCTTTAAGTCGCGACACGTTTACAGTTATTGTGGAAATTGTTGTTGAACTTTTGGTTACTATATAGTTGTTGAAATATTTCTTTGATGTTGAATTTTGTTTTTTTTTTTTCTAAAAATGTTGGTGAAATTTTTTGGTTGTTGAAAAAATATTGTTGAAAGTTCTTGAAAATTGTTGTTGAAAAAAATTTTTTTTTGTTGGTTGCGTACTGGCTGTTGTTGATTGGTGATTGTGGTTTTTTGTTGTACGATTTAGCTGGATGTTGAGTTTTGTTGCTGAAATTTGTGAGTTTCTTGCCACGTTCGATGCTGTTGATTTTTCGGTGGTTCTTGCTTGCTGTTGTTGTTGTTGTTGTTTATATTCATTTATGGTTGCTGTTTGGATTTTGGTGGATTGGGCTGAAATGAGAGATACATATTTACTTCTTGTTAGTTATCACAATTTAAAAATAAATTCAGAAAATGAGAAAAAACCTCCTTAAAATTGGTAACTGCCAAATTATGAATTTTATATCGATCCCGAAACCGTCTAATTGAAAAGGACAATTTTTTGTCGAATAACTAGTTACTAGCATAATATTTTGCACGCAACGCCACACATAAAAAGTCACAAAGCGGTTTGAGCTGACATCTATAATTGGTAATAAATTCAAATTGGTCGACTCTTAAAGTACACATTATATTTGTGTTTTTTTTTTCCTTTATTTATGTTCTGCTGCCAGCTGAGCAGCGCAGCCAGCGTCGCCGTCAGCAGCTGTTGCGTTTGCGCTAATTGTGCACAGCTGCGTGGCATCAACACAGACACAAAAAAACAAAAACAAAGAAAAGAAAAAAACAACAAATAAAAAGAGAGAGGGAGAGAGCCCCAACCAACAAGTTGCAGTCAAAGAAAAGGAACGGAAATTGAGGGGCATAAGCAGAGCATACGGTGTGTTCTCGATAAGTTGGACCCCATGTTAAATTTTGCTTACATTCTTTTTATCATTAGTTTATGAATTTTGCATTTCAATTTAGATTGTAGCTATAAAATTTCAATCTTAATAATAGTTAAACAAAATGCTTTCTATCAAGGCTTTTATAAATACAGAAAGATCTTAACTTAAGGAACATTTGAAATATTAAGTAAATTAACAAATTTGAAAAAAAAAAACTACTTTTTGGTTCAATATAACAGAGAGTTCACTGCACAACGAGAGGAAATAATGAAAAAGGGAGAAAAAAAAAGAAAGATTGGCGCGTGCGCGCATGCTTCTTCTCCCGCTCCCGCTCTTATTTTCTCTCCATTTCCCCCATCCTTTCTCCCTCCATTTGTGTTCCCCTTTTTCATCTTTCGTCAGCTGCTGGTTTTCCATGTGTGCGTGCCTGTGTTTGGGGCATTCAACTGAGCGGTGAAAAGCATTGAGAGAACATAATGTTGCATTGTCTTTGTTGTTGTTGTCATAATTCATATAAAAGGTCAAGGGTCGCGCGCGAGAAAGAGAGGACATTAGAGGGAATTGCAGCCGGCTTTATTGCATTTTTGCCTGTGCAGCTGCTCTCTCGCTCTTTCTCTCCTGCGCTCTATTATTACTACTATGTGTTCCTCTCGAGAGTTACATTAAGTAAATTGGGAGAAAATACTGGGAGAGCTTTGCGATATGACCAAAAGTCCTTTTTGAATGACGCTGCCGCTGCCTTGACATCAAACACGCTCAAAATGGCCACCCACCCCACCTCAGAGGACCCAACCCCAACCTTTCCCATTTACCGCTCAAATTCACACCCCTCATTATCTCGCTACACCCTCACTTTATCGCAATATACTAGCTTATAAAGGAAATGAATCTCTCTCGAGGGTTCTAAGCTGGTCCAGAAAAAAAACAATGATCTTTATCTATAATAGTTTTCAAGAAATTGATATTAGGCGGTTCCTATTAATGCCTTAAGAAAACGAGAGAGCTAGGTTTTCATAAGTTCTATTTGAAGTTATAAAACTTAAGCCTAGCTCTTTTTAAAGAGGATACAATTAGACCTTAAATATTTTGATCTTAAAGAAACCTTATAGATATGATTGAAAATATCCACCCAAAGATATTCAGATTGAAAGTCAAGCATACATCAAAGATCAAATAGGTAAAATATTATTGTTGTAATATGTTGAAGATCTAAACTCAAGAAATAGAACTACACTCTTTTTGTCCCAAAACATTTATGAAAACAACAACCAAGAAACGTATAGTTATAATGAACCCCCCAAAATTCCTTTCACTGGGCCTTTTCAAGAACTATTTCCAGACCTTTTGATGTAAATGGTATAGGAAAAAAAACCATAGGTACTGGTACGAGGGTACCACAAGCTTCGTTCTCATTTTCCCCCATCGTCATTTGTTTTGTTTGACGGGGTGACACGTTCATTGTCAACTGAGGCAAGAGCAAAAACAATGGCGATGAAGAGAGTCGAGGATGAGAAATGGGCGAGAAAGCCTGCGGCGCGTGGCAAATTCTATTAAATATTCAAATCGAAATCGCTTTAAATGGCACGAAAAGCGAACAACAAAAAAAATCGCAGTAATTGACTGAGACACCCACGCAACCTCACACTGCATTTGGACATTTTTTTTTTTTGGAAACCCGAGAACCCAACTCAAAAAAAAAAATTACATACACATACATTTATATATAAATATAGGTATAGTGTACCTGAAACGCAAAACAGAAAAAAGAACCCCAAGAAGAAAAGGGAAGGAAGAGAAGCCAAAGAGAGTGGGCCGGGGGGTGGGGGAATTCCACCCCAAGGTTCGCCGTTCGAGGGCCAAGGGTCGTCATTATATTTCCCAAAATACCCTATAGGGTATATGGCCCATTGTCAGGCTTTCTTCGCCAGCTTTCTTGGCCAGCGTGTGAAAGAAATCAAGGACAGTAGGGTCTACCTAACACGAATAACCCGCAGGATAAGGATATGTAAAAAAGAAACCAGGAAACTTGTAATTTCATTCGGAATATTTCTTTTAGGTTTCCTAAGTTCTTATAACTATTTTTAAGCTGTAACAAAACAAAATTATTTTTCTATCAGTAAATCATTAAAATTATATGTAAACTAAGGATAGATAAAAAAAAAGATTACAGAAGGTATGGTTTAATTAGGAATATTTCGTTTTATTTCCTTAAAAAATATTTTTAAATCATTTAATAACTGTAAATGCGTCTTGTTTTATAAAACAATCACAATTTTTAATCAGTATATCAATCGAATAATATGAAAAACCATTTTCAAATTGGGTTTATAATGATTATAATAAAGGACACATAGCAAAATTCAAATGTTTATAGGATAGTTTCAAAAATGTTTATAAAAAATTGTTGTTTCATCAAAATGTTCGCAATTATTGAGGCCCTCCTGTGCGTTTAAAAATCGAAAGGGAATATGAGGAAATCAAAGGGAAACCTTGATTGGACCAAAACCGGAAAAGAACTCGACAGAGGGGTTGTTGCACACACGAGAGGTGATTGAGATTCCCCATCCAATAATCGCATGAAACACTCAACTAAGACTCAAAAGTCAAAATGCAAAAGTTGAAAGGGAAAAAAGGGGGACATAAATAAGCCAACAAATTAATGGAACATTTTGCGGTTGATTTGACCGAAGGAAAAAAAACTAGAGATTTGTAATCTGAGAAAAAGGTCTCGAGGAAATTCAATCCTTTTCGGGCAATTTCGGGAAAGGATAACTGATTAATCTTTGGATGAATTCTACTCAAAAATTTTGAAAAATCTGCACTCAAAACAAACATTTATCAAATGCACTCGAGTCGAAAAAAAAACGTTTTATATAAAAAAAAAACAACTGAAAAATAGATTAAAACAAAAGCTCTCTGCGAAGAGCAGACAAAAAGAAAGAAAAAATTAAAAAGAAAAAGCAACAGACAACAATAACAACACAAAAGTTCTTATTTCACCGTGGATTTCAGTGCTCTCTTTTGTCTTTTTCTCTCTCTCTTTCCGTTCATCGCTCTCCCCCACTTTACGCACTTTCTTAGCATTTTCTTTTTGCTTTCGGTTTTCGTCATGTGTTTTTGTTGCTAATTTTGAAATGAAGAGTGATGAAGCGTGCAAAAAAAAAATTAAAGAAAAAGTTTCCGTTTCGACCGTTTAAAAATAGCCAAAAATGAAAACGGAAAATCTCTCGAGTGTTTTTGCGAATAATTTTTCTTTAATTTTCCGAGCTTCTATAATATTTAACAGAATTGTTTTTAAAAAGGTTTATTTTTTTTGGAATTTCACGTTTATTTCTTTTCGAGCTTTTTGCGATTTTCGCCCATTTGGCTTAAATTCTTAGTAGTCCAATAAGAAAATATGCAAGCGCTTTGTTTAATGTTGTATTTATTTGTAAGAGTTTTACTGTTACAAACGGGTTTTTGTACAATTTTTTCTCGGTTTATATGCCTTTTGCTGACATGTTTTTTTTTTTAGCAATGCATCGCGTTTTCTCAAGAAAACCGTATAACTTTTTGGGGAAAACTAATTTTTTTCCAATGATAAAAAATAAAATCAACACACACACACATACGTAGAACTAAACAAATATGAAGGGCGACGAGTCAGCACAAATACCCATATAATTATTGTATTTTTCTCTTGTATTTTCCACCTACTTTATAAACATTTGCCATGCACTTTGAACGAACTGGTTTGGAAACTTGAAAAAAAATTTGTGGTTTTTGTTTGCCCTTTTCTCAAATAATAATGATTAAAATTTTATTTTGTTGAACTGACGCAACTTTTAGAGTGTGACGTCTGCGGCGACGGCGACTGCGACTGCGACGCGCACGCTACGACTAAACAACGTGAAATGAGAAGGACAACCAAAGCGAACGACCGAAATGCCAAGGCAGCAACGGCAAAGGGAGAGCGCCAGCGTAAGACGTCCTAAGAGAGCGCTCCCCACAAAAAGAGAGCCCACTAAGAGCGGGGTAATTATTGCCTGCCTGTGCGTGTGTGTGTGTGTGTGGGCGAATAGCGTAGCTGCAAGACGGCAGAAAAAAGCACGCGCTCCACTGTGAAATTCTTCTTGTTGTTGTTATTTTTGTGTGCATGGCAGATGGCGTGGAGAAAAAAAAAAGAAAACCCCACCCTCTCTCTCTTGCTCACTCTCTCACGAAAAAGGGCACATGCTAAAACAAAGCCAAAGCAAAACAACATCAAAAAAAGCTGAAGAACGGGTCTTCCAAAGAAAAAAAAACATCTGAAAAAAATAAAAATAAAAGAATACGTACATATTTGCAAAATATATGCACTACACAATGAGAAAAATGTATTTGTGATTTGAGATATTGAGAACTCGAAATAACTATGTAAAGCACAGTAAATAGCGGGGAAAACGCAAACAAACACACACTTTGAAAGGTGAAAAAACAAATTGAACGCAAAGTAAATGAGGGCAAATCCTAATCAAATCAAAACAAACAAAATGAAAGAAAGGCAAAATGAATGCAAAACAAAATTAAAAACAAACTTTGGAAGTAATTAATGAAAGAGCAGAAACAAATACAGTTGGATAAATTTATGCAACACAATTTTTGCATAAACACCTTAAAAATATTATGGCTGAGGTATAAATCATTTGAAATACAATTTATATTCAAACAAGCGAAGCCAATAATAAAAGCAGAAGAGTAAAAACAAATGGAAAATAAATGCAAAGTCAAAAAATATAAATTCAAAAGCAAAAAAAAAGTTCACCATGAAATACAGATGCAAAGCAAATTTAAAAAAAACAACACGCACACACTTGCAGAAAGCTTTTCGTTTTGCACTTTACACCTAGAAATTTCGCTCACTATTTACCGTTAGAATTATTAAGCACTCTGCTGCTCCTTCTTCTTCTTGAATTTGCTTCTTTATGGGGTTGCACTTAAACGTGAAAAAAATAAAGGCAAGCTGTGTTTTTTGTTTCTTATTTTGTTGTTAATTTTTGTAGCTTTTTTGTGTGTTGCCTGTTTCGGTTTCGGTTTCTTGTGTTTTTTGGTGTTTCTCTATTCTCGTTTCTTATTTCTTGTTTCTTGTGATTCCTACCCGCCGAATGCAATGACAGAAGCAAACTAAATGCGGCCGCCGCTCAATTTTAACTTTAACTTTGCCAGCCCGACTGCGCTGCCTCTGCTGCAGTCGCTGCCTGCGTCGCGGTCGCAGCATTCGCAAGGCAACACCAAAAGCAATGGCAAAACGCACACACGAGTGCAGCCAAAAGAGAGCGGGAGAGGGAAGTGACTGCGAGAGAGTGATACGCAAAGAGAGCGCACGTGACGCGTTGCAAATACAGCATTGGTCAAGATAATAGTAACATAAGCTTCGAAAATAATATTCTAATACTTAAAAACTGACTAAAAATATATTAGACGAGCAACTAGATATAAATATGTTTCGCAAACTTCATTAATATGGTAAAAAATGACCGTGTCCTAATGTTATTTCCGAAATACGAAGAAACTATACAAAATAGAAAAGGTCTTCACAACAAAAACATAGATTTATACAACTTTTTGCATGTTTGTTTTTGTTTTAATTGTTTTTCTTCGTTTAAACATTAGTGTAACTATTTTAGTGACTGGAACTATCGACCAGCACGCCTGTTTGTTTGTCTGAATGTAGGTGTTGTTGTGCCTGTTTGTCCGTTTGTTTCTGTTGCTTTTCTTGCGCTTGTGCATAGCGAAACAGGAAGAAAATAACAATAATAACAACAGCTCTGTGTAATTGTCGCTATGTCTGTGCATAGCAAAGATACCCAAGAACTTTAGGGCGGACCAAAACCAAACTACAAGTGGGACAAAAACGCTTTTTAAATATATTTTCTTTTAATCAATTGTTAAATACAATTTATGTACACATACCTATGTACACTTTTTTGTTCCATTTAAAATTGGAATTTATCTGCGGAAATAATGAATAAGAGTTTCCTTTGATTGGTATTACTTCTTTTAAATAAAAATAGAATATTCATAATCTTGCCCAATTGAAATTGAAAACTCTTAGGACCTGTAATATTTTTGTAAGGGTCACCTTAAGATGCTGCAGTGGCACTCTTCTTCTTATTTGCTCTCCTGGGCTCCACATTCTCTTTCGCATTTTGATTGTGATTCTCATTCGCATTTTGCCGCTGTTGCTGCGTCATTGTTTCGTCCGCGGCAACTTTTCCGCTGCTACGTACCTCCCCCTCTTCTGCCCAACCCCTCGCCCACTTTAAGTTTATCCGCCCCCTTTTGCCACCCCCTCTGCCACAGTCGACGTCGCTGCCACTGTTAATGCACTGTTTCATGCACATGTACAGTGGACACTGGCTAAAAGGGAAGCTTAGGCTATGCGTAAATCCAAGTCCTTAAAAGTCTTCAATTTTGAAACCAATATTGTATGCAGTAGTGCCACAGAAATCACTTCACCACTTACATGGTCGTGTAAAATGTATATTGATGCATATAAGATACTTTCGCTGAATGGGACCCTTCTAATTCTGTGGCACCCCCGATTTTTAGTTTTTCGGTACGTGTAAGGGTTTTTTAGAAGGCATTGAAAATCTTTAAAAGTCATTAAATTTTTTAACGTCAACAAACCTACAAAAGGAATGGTAACTTTTACTATGTATTTATATAACTATAATTTTAGAATAAGTCCCTTCTACTTTTTTAAAACTTAAGGGTCGTTTTCGCCCCATCCCATTTTCTTACGAAACGTTTTTTATCAGTGTAAAGGAGGTTTCTTCTTAAGACTGTTTAAATATATAGGGTTGTTTTTTCACCACCATGAATAATAACTTTAACCATAGAACTATAATTTTAGAATAAGTATTTAAGCTACGTAGATATATTTAGTATGAAACCTATAAGACCTTTTACAATAAGAGGGTCGTTTTTGCCCCACCCTAATCTGTTATAGAAATGTAACTATAACTATAAAAACAAGAATTTTAGAGTAAGTATTTGAAATACTTTAATAATGAAACCCTCTAGACTAGTTACCCTATAAGGGTCGTTTTTGCCCCACCCCAACGTATTATCTATCGGTGGTTTCTCTCATAAATGAGCATGTATGCGAATGGAATATCTACTGTAGTTTCAATGGCTTCCAAATTGTTTGCTCATGCTGCTGATGTTGCTGCTGCGCTGCTGCTGTTGCTGCTGCTGCTGGTGATGTTGCTGGTGTGTCTGGTTGGGGCTTTTGTTATTGTTATGATGCGTCGACGTCGGCGATTTCGAAACGTGCTGGCATTTGTGTGGAACGGAACTTGTTTTGATATGCATGGCCAGCTCTGGCTGTCCAAAAAACCTGGGCCCCGGGCAAAAGTTGCAGCGTGCCACAACAGCAGCAACATCGTAGCAGCAAATTGTTTGTTTTCATAATTTTCTTCTTTTTCCTTCTGGAAGAAGCTGTGTGAATGAGCGAGAGAGAGAGAGGGGGTGGTGGGTGGCTGAGGGGCTGAGGGGCGGGGCGGGGCGACAAAGTGGGCGGGGCAGCAACAATGTTGCCGACACAACAGCAGCAATTGTCGAGGGTTCATTGTACTTTTTTGGGTCTCTACGCTTGTCTCCACTCCCATTTCCCTTCTCCCTCCTCCTTCGTTCATCAGCCTCATCTGCCCCCCCTGCTTTATCATCTGCGCTTTGTTTTGGCCTTTGTGCGCTCGCATTTCTAGGTCAAAATTTACAATTTCCGATTTTCTTTTATTTTGCAGCCCTCGGGAGGAAGAACTTAAAAAAAAGTTTTTGGAATCTCATTAGAATATTAAGTGCTAAATTAATTGTTGAATCTATTTGGCCCCGAAATGTTTTGTAAACAACTCATAAAATGTATATAAGGTTGAAGAACCTTAATTTTAAAATCGTTCCTAATAATAAATAATTTATAATAATTATTAATAAACAAAGAAAATAAACATAACTAAAAAATCAAAATAAAAAGTATTAATTTAAAAACTCCGTGAAAAAGTTCCAACGTTTTACATAAGCCATCCTTACTGTATTGCATCATATGGTATTTTGCATACAGTTGTTTTGGAATATTACAAGTTCATCGTATTTAAAACATCTTTTTAAACAAGAGGTCATATAAATAGAAATTACTGTTGCCGATCAGCACGTGTAGTATTAAAAGCAAATAGCACATCAATTTCGACTCCAACCTGAGGTCATGTAAATTTCTAGTCTATTATTGGGAACAGACTTTCTTTGAACAGGTCAAAATTATTTTTACCAGGACACTTGTCGCGTTCCAAAGGGCCCGGACCATATATAATGGGTTGGAATTGCCATATAGGTTATCAGTTCGGTGCTCATCACCATCCAGGGAAGAGTTATCCAGCTAAAGGAACAGCCCAGGACCAATATGAAGATCACCATTGGCTTTTTGATTGGTATGTATGTACGTTTCGGAGTAATATCATTCGTTTTGACTGGATTTTTTTTGTGTTTTAATTAGTGAGCGTCCTGCTGATCGGGTGTTCATCTACCCCTTGTGATGAAGGATCCCCACCCCCAAAAAAGCCGGCTCCACCTAAAAAGCCGGCTACTACTAAAAAGCCGGCTCCGCCTACTAAAAAACCGGCTCCTCCTACTAAAAAGCCGGCTCCTCCTACTAAAAAGCCGGCTACCACTAAAAAACCCACTCCGAAACCGACAACTCCAAAACCGACCACTCCGAAGGCTACTACTCCGAAACCGACCACTCCAAAACCCACCACTCCAAAACCCACCACACCGAAGGCTACAACTCCAAAACCCACCACTCCAAAGCCCACCACTCCGAAACCTACCACTCCAAAACCCACCACTCCGAAACCTACAACTCCAAAGCCCACCACTCCGGAAGCTACAACTCCAAAACCCACCACTCCGAAACCTACAACTCCAAAACCCACCACTCCGGAAGCTACTACTCCAAAACCGACCACTCCAAAGCCTACCACTCCAAAACCCACCACCCCAAAACCCACCACTCCGAAACCCACCACTCCGAAGCCTACCACTCCAAAACCCACCACTCCAAAGCCGGGCTGTGGTTGCCAGCCATGTGGACCCGGTGGCGTAGCTTGCCAAGGATGCCCACCCCACGACAATTTGTGCCAGGAATTGTTAAATGACATCAAGAATCTGGATCGCAAGATCAGGCAATGCGTCTGTGGAGAGCCCCAGTGGATGCTGTAATACTAAAACACAACAATCTGTATTACTAAACCACCAAAACAAGCCAGCTTCATTTAAATCCACACATCCTGCAGAACTGGAACTAAGAACCCGGCTGATTGACAAGGATAATGTACTGATCACCTTATTTTTTTTTTGTTTGTTATTACTTTTATATTAAAAAACATTTTTAATTCTTTAAAAACTGTTGTTTTAGTTAAGGTATTACCCATAATATTTTTTCTTCATACTTAAGTTCACAAAAACTGAAAAACTTTAATACGAAGAATTGGTTCTTTTAAAAAAGGAAGCTGAAGAATTACTACACAGGAATAAATGAATGAATGAGAAAAGATAAAGGATGGGAAGAATCAGAAGACGAGTCTTTTTCTGCCTACTGTTTGTGATTAACTTCAACTGGATTTACTTGGACTAGGACAAGAAAAGGTCCTAAAACTTGTTTACCCTCACTCCGATTCTTCTGCTCTTGCACTTCTTCTGGAATTCTTCTCATCCCCTCGAATTCTTCGCATCCCCTTTACAATTCTTGGCCCCTTGTTTTGTCCTTCTGGTGTTTCTTGTTTTCTTTAGAAGCTACAAACAGGCTGATGAAAAGGCAGGAGGTATGAAGGATGTGCAAAGGAGGGCGTAAGGAAGACAAGGGGAAGGTGGAGGGGCAGGAGCAGTGGAAAAAATGAAAGAGTTCAAAGTGCATGACGGCGCAAAACGGAAATCAAGTCCAAGGAGGAAGAGGAAATGGAGGAGAGGAGATGGCGAGACAAACTCTAATTGGAGTTCGACAAACACACACAAACATGCGAGCACAAACAAGAAGCAGAGGCAAACAGCGTGGGCGATTTTGACAAATGGAGAAAGGGAAGGAGCTCAAAAGAGAGAGCTTGCAGAAAACCGGGTGAGCGAAGTCGGGACCAAAGCCGAAGAGAGAGCTCGAGAGAAACACAACACACCATAAACAGGATGACGAAAGAGAGCACCAAGCGAAAGGAAATTGCGACGCAAAAAAATAAGGCGCAGGTGCGATGCCAGGATGTTACTATGTTAGTATAATAATACATGTGTACATACGTACATACGTATGTGTTCGTGGGCAGGAAAAGTTAGGGAAGAAGCTGAGTAACGGCTAATAAGTAATATTTTAAAACAAATATTATAAAACAATAATTAGAATAAATATAGAAATTAAGGATTGGATTTTAGGGATTTTTTAGAACCGTTTTTAAGAAGGTACTACTTAGTATCATGTCATGAAAGACCTTCAAAAACTTTTTGGAACTTAAATACATCTTATCCAAAACATTTCTGAAAAGTTTCAAACGGATATTATGAAAAAAACATTTTTGATTAATTCCTCAATATAGGATGGTTTGTAAAAACAACGAAGCCTTTTTTTTTATTACCTCTCTCATTTTCGGATAAATTTTTTTTTAATTTAAAATATAAATAAAATAAAATTAATCAACAATGGTCAGTATATTTTATTGAATAATATAAAAAAGTTATTGCATAAAACTAACAATTATTAAAGTTGCTTGAGCAAGTGTTTGTTGTTTTACAGTTTATGAGTAAATTAACCACTACTTATGGAGAATTAAAGATAAATCGAGTTGTTTGCCAATTAGACGGAAGGGTATTAGGTAAAGAGGAAGAGAGAGAGCAAAACAAGCTGCAAGTGGAAAAAACCGGAAGACAAATGGTCAAAAGCGGCGGCGCAGCAAGCAAAGAGAGAGAGAGAGTGGGACAGAGAAAGAGAGCGAAAGCGAGAGCAAAGCAGAGAGAAAAACCGGGCTCAAAGGAGAGAAATAGAAGGCGAGCAAACAAGTGAATGAAAACAGGAGAGAAAAAAGTAATGTAATGAAAACAACAATAACAGTGCAACAATTTGTTGCCGCAACATGTTGACACAGAGAAAGAGAGGGAGAGGAAGAGAAAGCTGTCCTGGGTTTCCTTTTCGCTCATGACTTACATGACTTTTCCTCCCAACTTTCCCACCACCCCTCTTGGCCCTTTTACAGCTGTGGTCAAAATAGCAGTACACTACTTAAAATGTTTTTTTTTTTTAATTAAAAGTTCAGTTTGCACTTAAAAAAGGAATGTATAGCAACTAATTAACAACTAAATTTTTTTCTTGAATATTAACTTTAAAATATATTTAGAAAAACATTTTCTTTTTTCGACATTAAAATAGTAATCACTAAATTGCTTTTTAAAATTATGTTAAATTTCAAGAATTTATTTTTACCATACACAATAAATGTTTATAGTATTTTGACCACAATTGTACACTCGTTTCAGCCCAACAACCCTTCTACGTCATCGCAATTAGAAAGCGCATTATGAAAGCCATCTATTTGCATTTGCCGCTTGGGCCGAGGGCTAATTAGTTGGTTTCGGGACAAGGGATAAGGTTAAGGAGAGGGCCAAGATGCTGCAACATGCAACTTGGAAACCACACGTGTTTGTGGGTGAAAGCTCAAATGTGGTCAAAAGGCAATTAGGGACGTTGCAAGTGGAAATGAGCTCATGTGGGGATAACAACATACTCGTGGCAATATTAAAGCCTACTTAAGAGCAGCATTGTAGAAACAGTAACGAGTTTTAACCGTTTCATAACCGATTCCCAACCGTTTTCCTACTTCTTATGTGATGATAATGAATTATTTTAATTTCGATCTTTGATCTATAGCCTTATAACATGTTTTTTATTAAGTTACTAATACTAATTAAAATCAAATCAAAATAATATACAACCGTTGAGTAACTGATTTTAACTATTGTGTGTGTAAAACCTAATCTTTTTTAAACATTAACCGTTTATAAATAGTTAAATGGATATGTTTTATGGCACATTATATAATTTTATTATTTTTTACTGTAAGTATAAGAATACCTCCTCAAAATAAAACACCCTAGAACTCATTTAGCCATTTTTAGGTAATCCAAAATAACATTTCTATCAATTGGCAAGTGAAATACCCCCCTTTTCAAGGTAATTTAATTGAAATTTCCAAAATGTTTGCACAGTTTTTGAATATTAGTCAAAGTGCCAGCGCAACTCAAGTTTAGTTTTTCAATTCCCGCATTCACGTCAATCCCCCTTTCAGCCGTCAATCCCTTCATATAAGCCCACATAACAACTGACTGACTCAAAAAAAAAAAAGCATAAAAAAAAGAAAAACGAAAAGAGCGCACAAAAACAATTCAGTTGGCAACAAATCACACAAAAAATGCGTGCCAAAAGCGTTGGACTGAAAAAAAAAGTAAATAAAGTGAGCGGCTGCATAACGTGGCGTATGAGTAATGCAACCCTTCCTCTCTCTTTTTTTCGCCCTTTCGTTTCAGTAGACCCCGTGTGTGTGCTTAAAACCCAACAAATGCAGGCGAAACAAGTGCCAGGTTACGTTGCAAGTGTTTAAACTTCTGGCATTCCAGGGAATTTCAATTAATAAACAAAAAACAAGAGTAAATAATAAACGAGCGGAAGACTAAGGTGACAGAAAGGTAACCCCAAAGCTTACGAAATACCCTAGGAGTCGAAGAATCGTAGGTAACCTCATTTGAAATATAAATAGAGCTTTAGGAAACAATTGCATAACTATATAAATTGTAGTATATTATATAGAAAACTTAAGTAAACAAAACTAACGATTATGAAATTCTATCCTCATCATATCATAAGTTATCTAAATTGCTTTAAAACTTTAATTTAAAACTTTGTAACCCTAAGAAAATTAGTAAAAAAATAATAAATATAATAATCTATATTTTAAATAATCTATATTTAAAGTATACAATTTTTTAATACAAAAATTATAACTTTTAATTACATTAAAAAAAAAAGATATAGGTCGTTTTATAGAGGACTTAAAAAATCACTTCAAAAGTTTTATACTTCCTAGCTCGGTACATTCTACTCTCTTTATTAACTCGTAATATTATTATTTAACACAATTAAGAGAAAACTTCTTGAAAATGCATAAAGAGTATCTAAAAACTTACCCAAATAAAACTGAAATCGAAATGGCAAGAAACGAAAACAAAGCGAACTTGCGAGAAGAGTCGTCTTCAAGTTGGTTGTTGTTCTTCTGCTTCCTCTTCTTCTTCCTCTTCCTCTTCCGACAGCTGTAATGGGCGAAAGAGACGGAGAATGAGTGAGTGCACATGAAATATTCACAAGAGTAAACAAACACAAAAAACAGGAGTAACCAAACACTTTTGATAACCCCTGGAGGCGACAGCTGGTTTCAAGACTTAACCCCGCCATTCCACATGGCAAAAACAAAAAAAAACACAAACGGGAAATGAAATTTAACTTGAAGAAGCCCCAAAAAAAAAAGCTGAAACCCTGCAAATCCTGCCAGAAAAAAAGTTTTGAAAGGGACATAGGGAACGGAAAAGGGCGTCAAAGGGTTAAACATCAATCAGAAGTGAGAGCGTCGTAATCGCAGACATCAATCAAGTGAAAAGCGAAATTTCTGACAGATTAGTTGATTTAATCCTAAAGATACTACAAATAAGATAAGATACCGTGAGATATTACTGATAAATAAAACAAGGTCAATATAATTTAAAAATAACATATAACAGGTAACATTGAAGGTCAAGATAATACTATTTGTAAACCGAAGAGAAAATATTGCGAGCTTAATAAACTGTGGGTTTTTTGACATTATACTGGGTAAAATTATAAGAAATATAGGTATTTAAAATATAGGTACTTAAAATATAGGTACTTTAAATATAGCTATTTTAAATATAGGTACTTAAAAATAGGTACTTTAAATATAGTTATTTTAAATTGGACAAATAATATAATATACATATATTAAACGTTTCGAAATAATTGAAACAATAATGTCGACTGTTTAAGAAATCGTTCCATTTGCTTTTAACAATGAAATCAACAAAAATTTAGTTTGTTCTAAAATAAATAAGTACCATTTATTAATTCACGTAGTGTTATTATTCGCCCGGATTATTCACAGTCAAAAAGCCTCAAATTGTTCCTACAATGCGACTTCAATTGAATGCAATGAATATCGCATGAACTTGACAGGTCAACATATTCGCCCTCTCTTTCCCCCTGCTCAAAACATCCCCGTCTCGCTCGGCTCCAGTGCCACAGTGTGTACACACATACATACAGACATACTGATGTATGTGAATGCAGTTTTCGAGACTATATATAGCCGCTTGATTGACGGACTGACTGACTGATTGCCCGGCCACTAAGCCCTGACTCTGACTCTCCCGACTTTGATTATATGGGCTTGCCCCATCATCAATGTCTGATTGTTGTTGCTCACGTGTTGTTGTTTTCGGTACTATGCGGGCCTAAGGCACAGTGGGTGGGGTTACTAAAAACTAAATCAAAACATAAAGGACAAAAAAAAATGTTGGGGATTACGAAACAGTTAATACGGTTTGACATAAAAGTCTATAATCCGATTCCGAAATTCGGGAATAATTTGCAGGTGCATACCAGTAAGCCAATTACATATGTACATATGTATGTATATATAAAATCACAAATTTTTTTCTGGGGACCACGATATAGTTAATACGGTTTGACATAAAAATCGATAATCCAAAATCGAAAAAATGAAATATATATGTATACATATGTATATATACATAAAATCACCAATTCTTTTTGGGGTATCACGATATAGAGAATACAGTTTGACATAAAAATCTATAGTCAAAAATCGAAATTCAGGAATATATGATATGAAATAAAAATCAAAAACCAAAGACCTGGAATAACTTGCAGGTATGTATGTACATATGTATATACCTACAAGTAAGCAATTTTTAATGAAAGCTTATTGCTTAGATAAGAAAAATGCCTGAGGATATTATGTGTAATATTTTAATCTTAAATACATATGTTAAATTCAATAATAACAAATTTGATTTGCTCCATTGTACTTGCTATTTTGTTGTTGCTGCCTTTGCCATATACATTGCACACATGCACATTGACGAATGCAATCGGATGGTGGTTGTGTGCGTGTTTGGACATGATTGTTGCATATGGAGATGAAAGAGAGAAAGAGAAACACAGAGAATCGGAGAGCAATAGTGAGAAACGGAGAATCGTATAGGCAACAAAATGCAACTTTTATGCCACTTTTCATGCATAATTTTCGTCTCGTTTTGTGCATTTAAATCCCCTTAATTCATCAACACCCCTTCCAACGCCACCCCCTTTGTACCACCATTTTTTTTTTGCAACGCCCATGCATGTACAATGCCACCACCCCCCTTTAATTTGAGTACGACTTTTAACATTGAAAACGAACGTTGACATAAATGCAATCAGCACGCGCTGAAAAACGAGCGAGAGATAGAGAATGGAGAAGAGCAAGAGATAGAGAAATAGAGAAGAAGGAGAAGGGGAAAATGCAACAACTTGGCTCGGTTTCATTTTCATTTTTCGGTTTTCCACGTCATTGCAAATTTGATTGTAAGTTACTTGTCACAATAATTATCGAATTTCCTAATAAATATGTATTTACATGGAATATGTAATATTATCAGTATACATATTAACAAAAAATATGATACCTATGTACATTGTACACATGTATATAAAGATTTTGATTAGGCAATACACCATTAACATTTTAAATCAGCGGTCGGCATGCAATACAATGACATTTTGTCATTGACATTTTCGGTCATGTGTTTATCGATATGTTTCACACTGTTTGTGTGGCGGCAGAGACCGAGCAAAGCTGTGTATTTTCCATGTATCTTGTAGATAGAAATCTTATCAAACTATTTAATTCCACAACTATTCCCATTTTCATAAATTTTTGCCGAGTCTTTAAGATTCTCGCCAATTTAAGTGCACATTAAAAATCCGTAATTAATCGCAATTCCCTGCTCTGCTTGCGATATCAAGTTCTGATTATCGATAATTACAATGTAAATGAAATAGGGGCTTGGTACGGAAAAACGATGCAAGGCGGAAAGATGAGATGGAGCGGTCTTAACTTAATTAAATTCCGGGTAAAAATAGCAAAAGTCGCAAGAGGAAAATATAAAGAGCTGATACAGTTTTCATGCTGCTCTTCTCCTCTTTTTATTTTTTTTTTTGTTGTTGTTGTCTTCTTGAAACCTCTTATTCTGGTTCTGCTGCTGTTGCTATTTTTCTCGTAGTTTGCAAGCATAAATCAATCAAGCTGAGTGTTTGCACATATATAGCAAAAAAAAAAAAGAAAATGAGAGAAAAACATGAAACCTCCTCTTTTTTATACAACCTCGCAGTTGCCCCCTATTTTCCGACCTACGTACGGTCCATTCTTTTCCCCTTTTGCACTCTAACCCGAATGACAAAAGCGTTCAAGTGTAAAATGCAGCGCCCACTTTTTGGTTAGCCAAGTGAACCGACTTCTGATGTCGATAACGATGTGTTCTGATGAGGCTGTCACATTTGCAAAAAAAAAGTGCTGCTATTGATGGTAAGATCTTTATTTTCCAAAGATTCTAGCTAGGCATACTTAGAATATCAAAATGCACGTATTAAACAAGATTCATATCAATGGGAATGTGTTTTCTTAAACTTATACAAATTATAATAAATATTAAAATAGAGATTCTTATGTACGTACAATACCATTATGTAATAATTCACAAATTTTAAAAGGTTTAAAATGGTTATAGAATGCACCTAAAGCAAATCAAATGAAAAATTATATCATCTTTATAGAAATAAGATATTTCTAAGTTTTATTTTTTTTTATTAACATATTTATTTTCTGTGTGTTACATCTCTCTTCCCAGGTCTTAACCCCCTTTTGTTATTTTGCCCTGTTTTTTTTTTATACATACATGCTTTTTTTTAGCATGACGTGAGCAAACACTTTTCCCTCTCTATAAGTTGTTCTTGTTGTTTTGTTTTTATCAACAAAGTATCTTCGTTTTTTCCCCCATTTTCCCTACAAGGTGAACATGTGTGTGTGTAATCAGAGTGCCGCACTCTAATTAGCAGCAAACAAATTTTCAAAGTGGCGAAACCTTCAAGAGGGGGTGCAAAAGAGGGTTAATTGGGGATGAGGGGGTTGCACTTTGTGCTGTTCTGAACTTTTCACTTTCAAAATGCTGTCTCGGCTGCTTCTTCTTCTTTACAGGCACATGATATGACAGTGTAAACCTGAAGTCTATTGGCTATATGATCAATGGAACAGAAGAATGTATCCAAAAAGTTTGGTATACATAAGTAAATTGATAGTTTATGTTAATATACATTTATATACCATCAAATACTGATAAATAATCTATAAAAATAACTGAAAGATATCGATCCTTACTTGATATGAATAAGAATAGTTAGATATATCAAAATACAAATATATTTTTTATACAGGTAGTAAAGGAAACATAATATGTGATAAAAGATATCTATAAAATGGAAGAAACAGAAAAAAGATAGTTTATTATGTCTTTGCACCTTAATTTAAATGAATGTATTTTCCAAAACCCAGGTTTTAAAGTATTTACAGGATCTTCTAATGGATCTAAAAATATTTAATAATGACTTAAAAACAAAATAAGAGATAGTAAAACATTTGATTATAGATATTTAAGTTCCAATGTGCCATATAAGAATATTAAAACTGTATCTGTGAAGTCCACTTTGGGTTTTTCCAATCAGAATGCACTGGGTTTTAGCTGCAGCTGATCCACACACACACCGATGCCGAAATGCAAATACACACAAGCAAAACAAAAGCAAAGACAAGAAACAAAATGCAAACACTTATCAGGCGAAAAAAGAGAGATAAAGATAAAGCGAATGAATGAGAGGAAGAGAGAGAGAGATTGAGAGCTGAATGAGAATGAGGGCGTATTTTTCCTTCTACTTCAGCTTCTTCGTCGTCTGCTTCTTTAGCCTCTTCTCCTTCTACTTCTTCCTTTTGATTTTATTTTATTTATTTTTTTTCTTAATTTTTTTATTTTTTATTTTTTACTGCACATTCTTTTTTTTTTTTGTTAAGACGGAAGCATAATCAGCAAATGTGTCTTAGATGCTGATGTTGTTGTTCTTGTTGATAAGACAGAAAGTACAACAAGGAGGGGGTGGGGATTAAAGGAGAGGTAGGGGAGAAAAAAAG